CCCCCCCCCCCCAAAAAAAAGGCTAGACGAGTACAGATTGTCCTAGAGTGTCAACAAGGCTAGGCGAACACATTGTTCCAAGATTGGGCCAAGTGTGACCAGATTCTGGCTCTGATACCATATGAGAATATGTGAAACCCTGTTAGATTACTCTCCAAAAGCACCTTTTTGGAGAGAAGCGAGGTTTCGACAAATGTTGAGGTGAAAGAGACCAATTCTAGCCAAATCAGGACTCCAAAAAATGACTTGGAACACAAACAAGAAAAGGCAACAATTTACCCCCGGCGTGGTTTGAAAAAAAGTTTTTGACAACCCGCCAAATAAATGTCCATTAACCCTTTCAAGAATGGCAAAATAGGCAAGTGGTTCAGATACAATGTTTGATTACTAGTCAAATGTCCATAAAGCAAACCTCATTAAGTAACAGATACCATCAAGAATCTATAACTATGGTAGAATCCTACGTTATAAGACTACTCTCATCTTTCATTGGAAGATGGGAGTATCGACTGTCTCATCTTTCTATTTGGTAGAATCCTACGTTATAAGACTACTCTTTCGTTCTATTTGAAATCGAACACGTAATAGAGATGTTTTTGTGTGCAAACATAAGAAATGTAAATCACGTACCATAGTTTTGTTTCACCTTGGTGAATTTGTGAATGGCTTTTAGAATTAAACCATGCTTCTTATACTTCAATGGCCCCATATGTCTGCAATAAATAAGCAGGTCAAAGCTCAAGCAAATGAACAACAGCTAAAGTTACTACTTTGTAATAAGAAGGTCAATGGTTTGAGTCAGGGATACAGTCTCTTTGCTGAATGCAAGGAAAAGACTAAATACAAAGATTTCCCCCCTAAGCTTATGAGGGTGAGTTTCGTATGTGAACGGGACTGGACAGGATTGGTTGGGCAAAGAGTGAGGTACGCCTGTGAAAGAACTTTGAAAGGTTGTAAAGCTTTAATTTAACATGTGTAGTTTAGTAATTTACCAATCTTGTCTCGTCTCCCTGATTTATGTTCCATCTATTTTGGTGTGACAGAAAAGAATGCAATTTTGTAGCCTCAAAGATAGGAAGTGTTGATAGATAAATGAATATGTAGAATATTTGTTTATATTTGGTTTATATTTTCTTGTCCTTGTTTATATAGTTTAAGGTTTCGTTGTAATCTCTATATTGTTTTAGGTTTTGTTTATATTTTCTAGTTCCTCTCACCCATCTTTTTGTACAAGTTGCTTCTTCTTTTGTCTAAACTCACCTCATTTTTTGTTTGTCAGTTTCGGTCCAACGGGTTCAATACCATACCTGGGCCGAATTGTTCCAAGTCACTGCACGGGCGTAGAACGTCATGGACCACAATGATGATCCCAACTCAACCCCGCTTGACCCTAGTGTTTCAGCGACCAAATGGAAGCAATTGGATGCGATTATACTCTCCTGGATTTATGGCACCATATCTCAAGATCTTCTCCTCACTATCATTCAGACCGGTTCTACTGCTCGTGATGCTTGGTTGCGTGTCAAGAACCTTTTCCATGACGATAAAAGTGCAAGTGCAGCCGATCTTGAAAACTAATTCAACCACACTAACCTCGACAATTTTCCAAATGTCACGGCATACTGTCAGCCTCTAAAAATGCTTGTTGATCAACTACGAGATGTCGATGAAACGGTTAGTTATCAACGTTTGGTTCTACAACTAATTAATGGCCTTACCCCTGCCTTTGACACCGTTGGAAGTATCATCAGTCAAATGGCCCCTCTACCTACTTTCTTGACTGCTTGCAGCAATGCTTGTGCGTGAAGAGTCCCTCCGCAACCGCTCTTCTGATACCTCTGCATTAATTGTTCGCTCTTCTTCTGGTCAGAATGTTCCAGACACCACTGCTCCACCTGCTGCCTCATCTCCCTCAACCAACAACCACTACAATAACTCCAATGGCCGCAATAACAATCGACGGCGCAATAACCGCCCCAGCCGTGGCGAACAGCAACATCAGGTCGGTTCACACACCCAGCCACGTCCACCTACTACGCCATGGCCAGCACCATATTCCTATTACTGTTCGAGCCCGTGGGCTTGCTGGCCATTGGCCCTATGAAAACCCCTGGTCTTCTCGGGCCAGCCCCACGTGGCCCTTCATCTGCTGCCCAGGCCTATGCAACCCCCTCTATGGATACTTTTAACCAATTCGCGGAGCTCCCTCAAGCGTTCTCGACCATGAGCTTGCAGCATCCGGATGACTCTTGGTACATGGATACGGGCGCCTCTTCGCACATGACTGCTCATCCCGGTAATTTACATACCCTTTTTAATACTAGCACTACTTCTCATGTTTTAGTTGGAAATGGCTCTCACATTCCAGTGCAGGGATCCGGCATAGCAAAACTAACCCACAACCTTTCGCTAACCAATGTCCTCCTTACTCCCCATATTGTTAAAAATCTTGTGATTTGTTCGTAAATTTACTTGTGATAATAGTCTCAGTCGAATTTGACTCATCCGATAGCTCTGAGATGCAATAGCTCTGGAGATCTCTATCCGATAACCAAGCCTGTCAACCTCAAGTCTTCCAATCCGATCTCTCTCACTGTCGTCTCTCCACAATTATGGCATCATCGTCTCGGACATCAAGGCCATCATATTTTTTGTATGCTTAGAAGTAATAAATCCATAAACTCTCCTCGCTCTTCTCCTTGTAATAAGAAAACCATCTCCCATCTTTGTTTTTCTTGTGAAGTTGCCAAACATAAACTCTCCTCGCTCTTCTCCGTGTGTCTTTCTTGGATTTCCCCCAATCATCGTGGTTATGCTTGTCTTGACCTCCATACTAAGAAAGTCATTCTCTCCCGACACGTGACCTTTGATGAGCAAGTGTTTCCCTTTGCCAACATTGAATCTTATTTTAGGGTTTAGGGTTTATGATTTTCTTTGTTCGGCTCCCCTTTCCCCTCTCATACTCTAGCATCTCATGACGCCTGCTTCAACGCCCATCCCACAATCGACGTCTCACCTCCCACAACCTCCCACAACATCTCCCCAAGTGCCACTCCTCTCTTCCTTCCCACATTCTTTTGGCGTCGTCTACACACGTCGCCCATTGCAACAAACCATCCCTAACTACACTCACCCCATTCCAACACCTCCTACCTACTCAACCCCAACCTCGCCACTACATGGCCACTCGCTCACAAAACGGCATCCACAAGCCGAATGTTCCTTTTAGCCTACATGCCCAATCCCCTCACGTCTCTCTTTTGCCCAAATCCCATCACCTTGCTATGCAAGATCCTCACTAGAAAGCGGCAATGAATGAGGAGTATAGTGCTCTTATTAAAAGTGGCACATGGGAATTGGTGCCCCGCCTATCAGATGTTAACATTATTCAGTGTATGTGGCTCTTTAAGCACAAATTTAACTTAGATGGCTCTTTGCAACATCATAAGGCCCGATTAGTGGTTAATGGTCGTTCTCAGCGAGTGGGGTAGATTGTGACAAGACCTTTAGGCCAGTAGTCAAACCAGCTACAATTCAGACTGTGCTTAGTCTTTCTCTCTCACATTCTTGGCCTGTTCATCACCTTGATGTCAAGAATGCATTCTTACATGGGGATCTAAAGGAAACAGTTTACATGTTTCAACACCCAGGCTTTGTTGATCCTGTTAGAATATTTCCTATTTTATGTGGCCTTAGGACCATTTATGTTATAAATTGTGGGAAATAAAATATTTATGAYTTATACCCTTAATTATACCATCATGACATAATTAGTTACTTGATGGAAGTAACTGCCATATAAATAAGATGGTCAAAATTTGTTTCTCTTTAATGCTTTCATACGTGCAGGGGACATTTAAGGAGAGATCAAAAATTCTCTCTCCCAAAAACACCATAATCTTGTCCTCTTAATCTATCCATCAAGAAGAAGGCATAATAACGAGAACAAGAACTCGAAGTCGTATCGCAACAATGGTTTCTTCTTCGTCACTGAACAATCCTATCAAGATTGGCTTTCCAAGTAAGTTTTAAGTTTTACGTTTTCAATTGAGATCGTGCGATTAAATTCTGTTATGTGTTTAATTTGATTAACAGATCCATCAGCACCTTGCCACATATGTCGCCTCCGAAAGTCTCTATGGCCTCAAACAGGCCCTATGTGCTTGGTATCAACGTTTTGCTAGGTATCTCATTTAGCAAGGGTTTACTGCTAGCAAAAGCGATAATTTTTTATTTATATATAAGCGCGGGGGTGACACCGCCTTTCTTCTCCTCTATGTGGATGATATTGGTCTTACAGCCTCCTCCACCACTTTTCTGCGGCACATTATTTCTCTCTTGAGAAAAGAGTTTGCTGTCTAATTTGGGATCACTTAATTACTTCTTGGGTATCTTTGTTCGACATTCTCTTGGCACTATGTTTCTATCTCAAAAGAAATATGCCGAGGAAATTTTGGCCCGAGCTAACATGAGCACTCACAAGCACACTAGCACGTCTATCGACACTAAAACCAAACTTAGTGCTCTTAGGGATGATCCGGTTGCTGACCCTACCTTGTTCCGCAGTTTAGCCGGTGCCTTACAATATTTAACATTCACCTATTAGCTACACAGTGCAACAAATTTGTTTGTTTATGCATGCCCCACGTGAACCTCACTTCTTAACCATGAAACATATCTTATGTTACATCCGTAGGACTCTTGAGTATGTCTTGCACCTTCGTGCCTCCCCTACCACCGGCTTGATTGCCTACTCGAATTCTGATAGGGAAGGTTGCCTTGATACTCATCGCTCAACTTCAGGCTATTGCATTTTCTTGGGGGATAACTTGTTCTCCTGGTCTTCAAAGCGACACCCCACTCTTTCTCGCTCCAGTGTTGAGGCGGAATACCGTGGGGTTGCCAATGTCGTTGTTGAGACTTCTTGGATTCGAAATTTGTTACTTGAACTGCATTGTCTGCTTCGTCAAGCCACCATTGTCTATTATGATAATGTTAGTGCAGTTTACCTCTCCTCTAATCCCATTCAACATCAACACACCAAACATGTAGAAATGAATATTCACTTTGTTTGTGAAAGGTGGCTCTTGGCCAAGTTCAGGTCTTGCATGTTCCTACTAGCTTACAATATGCTGACATCTTCACCAAGGGTCTCCCTTCCTCTCTATTTTCGGAGTTTTGGTCCAGTCTCAACGTTCGCCCTTCTCCCGCTTCGACTGCGGGGGTGTGTTAATAAAATAAATAAACATGTAAAATATTTGTTTATATTTGGTTTATATTTTCCTTTCCTTGTTTATATAGTTTTAGGTTTTGTTATAATCTTTATATATATTCTCTTTTAGAATACATATCAAGGAGCACGTTCTCTAATTCACAGGAAAAACTATTTTTTTCTCCAGTCACTCGTACCAAACCCATCCGAGAAGCGGCACTAGGGTCACCCTCTTCTATACAAGTAGTTAGTTATTATGATGGTTCGTTCTGAAATAAATCATACACCCACCAGATTCCAGACTTTATCGTCACTGAAGCTACAGAAAATAGGAAAAAGTAGCTTACACCATCTCCGTGTATCGAATTCTCCATGCTGGAAAACCAAGATGGCATCTTGCTGGTCCATAGATTAATAAAAGATCAGGATCAGGCTCTACAGCGCCTAATAGTAAACCATGTTAATGCACAAGATGTCAGTGTATACATACTGCATGCAGAAACTGCCCAAACTGAAAATTCTCCAACAAGGAGATAGAAAGAGAAAAAAGCAAAGAAAACCATGACCTTTTTTTAGCAACTCATTTACCCCTTAAACAATTGAAGTGAACAAAAAAGCCGTTACCAGGAGATTTTGGCCCATTCAATCTCTTCCTGGTGACAAGGGAAGGCCTTTCCCTTAATGCATCTGCTGCTGATGGTTTTGTTGTTGCAGATTCCGTGGAATTTAAAAAAGGGTCTATTGCACCCTTCAATAGAAAAACAATATACTCAAAGGGGGTAATAGACCCATTTTCAAAGTTCACCGGTGTTTCTTGTTCACTTTCAATTGTTTAGGTGGTTGGTTTTTTTGAGGAGTGGGGGGATGAGCTGCTAGAGCAGTAGAGCAAAACTCCTAGCTTTCTTGGCTGTTTTCTTTATATTGAGAATAATAAGGGATGCACAAAAAAAAAGGAACAAACCAAGGGCCTTCAATGCATCGTTTAAGTAAGTTTCAGTGAAGAAAGGTTTTTCAGTATCTCCATCCAAGTAATACTTTTTGAAAAGTACATTTGCTGCTTTTGCAACTGCTTCTTTTCCATCAGAAATTGAAACAAATTCAAAATCCATTTGCTTTTTACTGTCAATGGGATCAGTTACTGAATCATCCTGCATTAATGGGCAAGAAAATACAGTTAGTAGTGATACATTATGCTCATAATAACAAGAAGATATCATAGAGCGCATAGGCCATACATTGTATAGTTTTGCTGAACTAAATCTCTCCACAATAACTTCCTTGGATTTTTTCAGCACTCCTACATTTGAAAGAGTGAAACTGTTAGCCACGCAATCATACATGCGAGTAGGTGCTGCAGATGTGATTTTATTCAATCAAAAAGTAGAAGAATAGCACCATTACAAACTCGTGATCTTATATGACAGTTTGCATATATTCTGGAGAAAGAAAATCAATGAAGTTATGCTCTACAGACCCATTTCCCTTTATACAATTGAATTGAACAAATAAGAATGAACCATTGAATTTTTAAATTTTGAAAATGGATCTTTTACATCGTGGAATCAAGAAAGTACCATGAACAAAGAGAAAATAAATTTAACTCAACTCAAGGAAGAAACACACCCCTCCCCTTCCCAAAGTTCACTGATATTTTTGTTTGTTGGAGTCAATTCTTCAAAAGAAAAATGGGTTGCTAGAGCAGAGTTCGTTTTCTTTGCTATTTTCTCCAACACAATACAAGTAAAGATTCCCAGAGAATAAGATCTTGTAAATGCACCCTTACCTTCCCTGTCATAAAGACAGACCTTTTTTATCCCAATGGCTGAAAGCCATTCCAAAAGTTCAATAACTTCTGAAGTCTGACGAGCCTCATCACTGTCTATGACAACTCCAAGATATTTGACCCGATCTAGATTTAGATGGTCATATGCTTTCAATAATCCATTTGTTATAAGGTAGCTTTCGACTGTAGAAAGGATCTCTCGGGCAATGTATAATACTCTAAGAATTAAGTGCAGAGCATGCCATAACAAAAGAAACACCCTGCTGTCATGCTGCATAATATTACGTTCACATGAGCAACTACATCAAGTATCGTGATACTGTAACACTTGCATTCCTACATTTCTCATCTTCATTTTCCTGGTCCATCTCCTTTCCTTGTCATCACGACTTTGGGACCCATAAATGAGCTAAAGGAATGGACCCTTAATAAAGAAAATTAACTTCCATAGAGAATACCCAACAAAACCAATTTCAAAAAGGAGAAAACATTATTACCGGGGTGATCCTGCCAAAAGTCTCTTGGAAATTCCTTGCCACATCCATAGTCTACACAAATAAATAAATAAAGATGAAAATATACCAACTCCCCTTCCAACAGTCTTCCAGGATATGTCATCTAAAGTGTTAGGACAAATTTCTCATGAGGTTCAGCCACATCAATGCCCCACAGATGCACATATAACAACTATTAGACAGCCTACAAATCATCCACCAAGGAAGGCAGTGGAAATCTGTAGGAACATGCAAAGGTGTTCAAAATGTTTTAGCATTTCCTTGTACCTCATAGTATCAACTAAAGAAATAGCGTACTCACTACACTTGTGGAGTGTATGATGTTTCATACGATGAACCACAAAGGATCCTAGGTTCTAGGATATTTCATGGAGATGGTGACTCATCTAAATAGGTGGAGTCTCCCTCGTTAGTCAAGATTTAAATCAATCCAAAAAAAGTTCTAAAATAATACGAAAAACCTTCTTCTACAAATGTTTCTGTTTTTATTCCTCCATCCAAGTCCCTTATTGAGCATTCTGGTCTGACCTAGCACTCACAAGGCACGCAAGTGCTAAGGCCGCAAAGTTGGTTAAGGCATCAACAATAACCCCATAATCAAGCTCTAAGAAAAACAAAAAATTAAAGAAAATTTTGCAATTTCATCACTATTTACCAGTATGTAGTTTGAACTTAAAGAACCCTTTAAGAGTTCAAAATTTCTGATCATTTATTCACCAACAATTAAGCTACAAAAGGTTCTCCAGTTGGTAACAAACAGAAAAACCTTCAAATTTTCTTACACGATCAAATAAAAAACATAAGAGGGACATTAGATACTTACCGGTTGAAGACAGGTACAGAAAAAATAAGCAAATTATTTGAGACAGCCTTTCTCGTCACTTGTAACGATAACATACAAAGACCTAATTCTCACTTGCTTCGACCAAACATTTCAACAAATCAAAAGCTAAAACTTTAAAATCATGAAATTCTAATCGGTTCGTAGATGATGATAACGATCATGACAAGAGATTCGAGTACTAAATCCCATGAGTGAACAATTAACGATAACAAAAAACACATTTTATCCACATCAAATACTCGTAATCAGTCTCAAACAACAATACATTCATATCATACCATCAAATTAAGTGAAAAACAAAACCATAATCGTTCAGAAAGTTAAAGGAGAATTAAGGTTATACATACGGAATCTTGGCTCTCTTCAGTTGCACCTCCGAATGTAAGCTAGAACTAGGCCCCTCGCCTCGATCTGGAGATGGAGAAATTGAAGCAAAGAGGACGGCGTATAAATGGGCGGAGGTGTGAAGAATGTGTGATGACCACAAGGGTAGTTTCGACCTTTCACCTGCCATACCCGCCAAAAAAAATCTAGTTTGTTACAAGTTTTATTTTAATTAAAATACATTTTACAAAATAATAACACGTTTTAATACTAAAAATAAAATATTAAAATTAAATAATTTCAAACAAAATATTAAACCCGTACAAAGAGTGTGGTAATAACAAATCATTGAATGCGTAAAGGACTTGGTTCGGCACGTAACGGGGCCCGGTGATTTTTGGTTTTTGGTGAATAATAAAATGAAAAAGACAGTTGTATTTTATATTTGAAAATAGTAGTTGTATTTTATATTTGAAACAGAGATAAAACAATATCACTGATGTTGGATGATACTTTCTTTATTGATTTTTGATTTATAGAAATTGTATAGAATGGAATGGTATATACTCAGTATTTAGGAACATGTCCACTATTAAGGGTTATTTATTAATGTGACGTTTGGTTCGTAAAACGTTTTTGCAGGGACGGACCCAGATCTACTATCATAATGTATTTATCATTGGAGGCTCGTAATTAAATGCACTCCTTATTAAAAATCTACTGCCACCAGGTATTTGTCATTGTAGACTCGTAATTGAATATGTTCCTTATAAATAACTTCACATGGAACATCTATGCATGTTAGGGACTGTTTGGCAGTTGTTGAATTAAGGATGGTGATTTGCCCCGACTCGGTGGGAAACCCGGTTCACCCGACCCGAACGGGGACGAGGATTCCCTGCTAAAACGGGTCCCGGGACCGGGGGATGTTACTCAAACCGGGGCCGGGGATCCCCGGTAGAATCAAACCAAAGAATATTATTTTCGGGCTTTGACCGGGTTTTGACTGGGGATTGCTAAAGATTTGACTGGGGACGGGGACGAGGTCGGGATCCCCGGTAGAATCAAACCAAAGAATATTATTTTCGGGCTTTGACCGGGTTTTGACTGGGGATTGCTAAAGATTTGACCGGGGACGGGATAATAATTCCCGTACCCGCCGGGGACCGGGGGACGTTACTACAAACCGGGTACCGGGTCAGTGATTACAAAACCTGCCCCATCCCCGCTCCGTTGACATGCCTATGTTGAATGGTTTGGTGCTGAATGATTAAGTGGTCCAGAATGATTAAGAGACTCTCATGATATAGTGCAAAATAAAATATAATTGTTTGGTTATTGTTTACGATGAAACTTGGGTGTTGAATGATTAAGCAAGACACATGATACAAAACCATTCAGAGGGTTTTAGAACTATGAATACACAATTTTATTTTATTTTTTGTCAAACAAGATTCACCTCTTAACGATTATGATATTGTATTTTAATTGAACTATTAAAAGATAAACAAACAACTTCTAAGTCATATTAATTCATACAATATTTGGTAGCATTATTGCATCAATTAATTGGAAGCATCTCGACAGGCCCACAACCAACGGTTGATGAGCCACCCAAAATTTAGGGATCTGCTTGCCACACACTCGACGCTGATAACTCTGGTGGCCCCCACTTCTGTCTAGCAAGTCAAGGATAAGATAAAAGCCTAGGCAGGATCACCAAGAAAGCATTTATTGATTGATATAACGTTCTCTCCACTTTAAATAAGTGTTCATATTTCTATTTTAGTTTGTTACATAATAAATGTCCACGTTTATAAATAAGTGCATGTTTTCTCATTCCACTCTTGATTATGAGATGAAGAAATCAGTTACTCACTTTATTATTAAGGGCATATGTATCGTTTGGTTCATGAAGTGTAATACTTCATCCGTCTCAAAATAAATGTCCACAGTGAAAAATACATTGTTTTAGAAATATGAGATTATTATATATATTTTTAATTAACAAAATAACAAATTTACTCTTAATTATTGAGATATAACAAATTTATCTCATAATCAAGGGTAACATAGTAAAGTAGACAATTACTTTTTGAAAATAGAACTAAAATAATAATATTTAAACATTTATTTTGGGACGTTTGTGTTAGTCCCGAAGGGAAAGGCAATAAACAGAAAGTAATTGTAGAAGGGGGGGTTGAATACAATTACACAAAAATTTTCAACTTTTTAATTCTTATTGATTTATATCAAGAATTAATACACATAGAAATACAAAAGATTGTTGCGGAAGATAGGAAAGGAAAACATAACCTAAACAATCTTACAAAGAGAATAACTTTCAAGAACAACACAGAGAGTTCTTGAAAGGAAATGAAGAACACTAAGAATTTATTCGCACACAAGAGAGCAAGGGAGTAGAAGGAAATAGCCGATTGCTTTGAGAGTGCACTGAGTAATCTTTCAAAAGCCAAGTGTGTGCATGGGAAATGCACACTGCCTTTTTATACCACCTTCAGCATTTAAAGCATGGGGACACTTGTCACTTGAGGATAAGAAGGCAGGGGTTGACCTGACCAATGTTGATATCTCATTTTCATCGTACACTGCATGCATACAACACAGTTCATGCAGAGACAAACCTTGCAGAGATATGGTCAGTCTGTAGGAAGATCTCCTTTGGATGGATATGAATGAAGCTTCAAGCAGCTACACACAAGTCTTCGGTCCATGGAGATTTTCAATCTTCGGTCCATGATCTTCAATCTTGAGTCCATGAAGATTTTCAATCTTGAGTCCATGAAGATTTTCAATCTTCGGTCTATGAAGATCTTCCTTCAATCGGCTTGTAGCTTCAAAATATTTTCAATATGCATTTCAGCTACTTCGGAGTCTTGGTGTGTATATTAGACAGTTGATCCACAACACCGCATCGGTGACCTTCTGTCTTCACATCGGCTAGTCTTCGATTTTGCCAATGGTTTTAAGTATGTACCAAGACACCAACTTACAAAGAACCAATAACTACTAAGTGTTGCTAAGGTAGATGAATAGATCAGTGGGTCATCACCAAATCAATAGGTGACCCAACAGTTTGTCAAATACTTACTGATGTATGATAGTGATCAATAATCTTATTCAGTAAGAAGCATAACAAGGACCGTGAATCTTAGCCGGTAAGTGTAAGAGAAAACTCTTACACAATAAATTTTACCCGATAAAAAACGTTTACTAACAATCCATTTTGATGACCAATGATGTTACATGATAAAGTAAATGATGATGATGACTCTTGTCACTATATACTTGACCAGTAAACATTTAGTAAACAACCCATAAATATCGTTGTTGCAATTTTATTAACCAACATGATATATATAAACATCTGTTATGAGATCAACTTCATAAATATAAGGAGTCATAAAAATGTACCAAATTTATAAAAATATTGAAAAAATAAATATTTTAGAGAGGGGTTATTATCATAAATAACTACTAGAAGCGTACTCGCGCAATGCAACGAGATACATCGTGATTTTAATATTTTATTTTATTATTTATCTCAGTCGATGTTATAATATGACTTTATGTGATTTTGAGAAAGCGATGATGTKTTTATTTTTGAATAAAATATATGTTTGAAAATATCATAAAATTTTGACAAAAATATATCGATATTAGTATCAAATTAACTATTCGAAATTCCTCATTTTTTTGTGTAATTTTTTAATTCAATTTTTTTATAATTTAATTTATGTACAATAACGAAGTAATTTATATTTGGTTTAATAATATAATTTTTTTAAAGATAATAATTATTTATTTTTTTGAAACTCGATAATTATTCTAATTATATTTTAAAATGAGATGTTCATTCTCTATTTGATAATGTTTATCCATAGTTATTTATACGAATTCAAACATCGAGCTTTAATAAGTTGTACTTATGCATTATTATTTGTAATCTTGAATTTTACGTAATATGCATCAATATACAGTACTTTATGCATAACAAAAATATATCGATATTCGTATCAAATTAACTATT